TCACTGGATCCTGCCTCAAACCTTTCATGCGGTTCCACAGATTTCAAGCACCACCAGCTCTCTTCCTGAGCAGCTTACTTCAGAGCGAGATTCAAATACCCTCACATCGTTCGTAGGTTCTGGGGGGTCATTCCTGGGTTTGTTTGGTTCTTCTCCCTTTTGGTGTTGAACGGGTGGGGGTGGGAGGAGTGGCACAAGAGCTGAAAATAATTTCCTTAAAATGGTGACAGTTGCTTGATCACATTGCCATGTTTATGGTCTCAAAGCCCCGCTTCCTGAACTAATAAAAGGGATAAAGGAAGCACAGGGGGACTCTGATGGGAAGTGCAGGATAAGCAGTGAGAAGGGTGCTGGGGGTGGGGGGGGCTGAAAAGGGGACCAAAAAAAAAAGGAAAAAAATGAAAACGCGGGGTAGCCCCTGGCATCCCTACTCCCTGCTCCACCCTCCTCCATCTACCCACAGGTGGGTTTTACTGATGCTTCATCAGGTCATAGGAAACAGAACACACTGCTGATTTGCCCACACACTGGATTTGGAGCTGCGGCTCCTTTCGAACTTCCTTCAGACAAACTGCTCTTTTCCAACTGTCATCCCAGTGGTCATCCTACTGACTCACTATAAGACACTTGCAGCCAGCCAACAATGACGCCCAATTGGACTAGAAAAAGGTTCGAACGTAAACTATCCTGACAAGGCTTGGGTGTACCACAATACAGTGTTCTCCAGTAAGAGAGACAGAAAGGGTATTGCTAGGTAAAGCATTCATAGTAGGGTACAAATGTTCATTTTCTGAATTCTTGGAGTTTATTCAAAGCTTGTGGTCCCCATTCTCAAGAGCATGGGGGGCTGTGCTGGGGGGTGTTTGCCAAGGAAAATTTTTGAAAGGGGAAATATGAATGATCAGAAAGATGGAAAGCGTATCATGGAAGGGCAGTGGCAAAGCACAGGCTGCTTTTCTGACGTGTGTGTGTGGCACTTGTGAGAACTGAGGGCTGACGGAGCCAGGGGATAGCATAGCTAGCACCGTGTTGACGAACCAAGGGGGTGGTTCATTCTGCAGGCTGACTGCTTTTTTTCCTTCTGGGGTGGGAGTACAGGAAGGGAATTACGGAGCTGAATTGGAAACGGGACAGGGGCTAGCAGCTAGGCAACTAGGGAGAGCCCAGGTCAAGTTAAATGTGGATAATGGCAACAGCGCTGGATGCGACTAAAGGGAACCCTTGCAGAACTAAGGCTTCCCGAGACCAGGAAACACACTACACGATCCTGTGTTACCTGTAGAGATTCTGTAGTCAAAAGAAATGTAGGGGGCAAAACACTTTAAACAAATAGGTTTCTACACTGTAGAACTTCTCAAAGCCTTAATCACCTAATTGCCAATTTTGACTTTCCAAGAAACAGGGTGCCTTATTTTCTTAGCTTATTTAACAACAAAGCTTTTTGTTTTGTCCTTTTCTTGTGGTAAAAATGATCTTAGTGCGCTAAAGATCATAAGCTGGGAAGCAAATATTAGAGCTTCTTGCTGTTTATTATTCTGTCATTACATACTTCAGAAATTACCCTGTAAATGTTTCTAACTCATATCATTGACATCTTCTATGTTCCTTAATTTTTAAAATCGGGAATTTACTTTCTCCATGACTTCTGATTAGACTTCACGGGAATATTTCTCAAACTTAAAAAAGAAAAAAAACACCTAAAAAATTACTTCTTTTCCTTTTGGGTGTGGATATAAACCCATTACCAAAAGAAATTATAAAATAACTTGATTAAGAATGGGGCAGAGAACTTGCCTAGTTGGGTGCGTTGAGCTGAATAAGGAAATGCAGCCCAGATAGCGCCTCACACTTTCTGGATTCACCATTCTGTGATTTCAAACACCAGAAGTATTACGCTTACCGATTATTTCAAGATATAGTTGTTACATCACCTCCAGTTGATAGAGTACTTGCCAAAAATCAGTATTTCCTGCAGTAAGACTAAATCTACTACAACCTTCTTTCTCTCTCTCTTCGCAGCGCTGAAGCCCTCTCTGAATGCCTAGGAATACTGCAGAGGTGGCAACTAAATGCCTCCTCCATCTCCGGTGTCCCTGGGCCTTCCCCAGGGACCCTTCACCCAACTCTGAACAGCAGTTTTGCTATTGCCGGGTAAGTTTTGGCTATCACCAGCCAAAGCTTCTGTGACCTGGTCCTCCTGGGGGAGCCTAGGCACTGCTGGCTCACCCCTCAGGAACCCCTGGAGTTGGCAGACCTGCATATTGGGAAAGACAGCTGAGAAACAAAAGACCTCAAAGTCCACTGGTCTCAGGTCAACTACTGCTTCTAGTCTTAAGAATACTATATTCAAGGCAAAAAAAAAAAAAAAAGAGCAGAAGTTAAATTTGACAAAATGGGATATTCTCAGTGTTATATTTTGTTACAATAAATCCTTAAGGTGAAAGTTTGAAGATGCAGTTTAAAATATAAATGCTAACATATTACTATACTCAGTGGGCCACATGATTAATGGGCCAAATCACAGATAATACTTTCAATTCATCTGCTATAGAGATTATAATCCCCGAGGCCATATCCAATGAGGTTGGGATCTAGGGAGGGACTGGGGGCTGAAAGTCAAAAGCGGCTCGTTAACCACTCTGGTAGAGTGGCCAGAAATCCAGGCTCTTCGTTGACAAAGTCCCCAAACTAAACCTCCCAGATCCCGATCTTCTCTATTAAATATACGCCTGCTCCCTCACATTGGATACTTGGCTTTAGGTAGATGACTGAACGCATGGATCCTGGGCTTAGGCCTCGAAAACGTACTAAAGAAACTACAAATAAAAAGACCTGTGCAGGGCAGCACGTGAACTCACGGTGCAGGCCAAAGACAGTGAGCCGGCGACACAGACTGGCTCACGCGAGCCATGCACACTTATCCACTAGTACTCGTGTAAGTGGACATCTCTTCATATGGGTTTGTTCTCCCACCAATGTAGTCTTAACATTCTTTTTATATGTTATTTCCTCAACCATGGAAGCATAACCTACTTATGTTGAAAATAAATAAGTATATTAAAAGAAATCTGAGTTAAAAGTTTTATTCATTCAACATCTCACATTACAAATATTTAAAAATTATATGCATACTGGTATAAATAGTCATTTGCAAACTATTTAATAACATTAATTTTCCACTAGCACTTCAACAAATGAACTCTTTTAAAAAAGGAACTGTGTTATATAACTTAAGAGTAGAACATACAAAAATAGGAACTTAACGTGAAAATGACTTTAATAAAAAATGAATTACCCTTATTTAAAATGCTATAATAAATACTACAAGCTCCCCATACACAGTAAAAACTATATGGAAATTCAGCCAAGTAGTACAATTAACTGACATACTTAAATAACTTTTCCTTCTGATAATATGAGCAATACACTGGAAAAAAAAAACATTAGGGATTAGTAAAAACTAGACACCCACTTGCTAAAAGTTTCACTTCCAAAAAATATAACAAAAATCTGATGAAAATTATAAAAACTAATTATACTTTAAATTTTAAAAATATAAAAAATAAAACAGTTGAATACAATATTGTCCCAATTCTTACAATGCTATCAATCACAGTAGCTTTAAAATAAGATAATAAAATAAAGCAAATGACCAAAACCTCTTTTATTCCATTTTTAAAAATAATCTCAAATTTACATTAGTAGAAAGATTGATTTCTGATTCTTTTCTTTAGAAACACCAGCAAGAAAGAGGATTACTCTTAACAGTAGAAAATGACATTTTTAAATGTCTGCAATTAAAAACAAAGAATTACACTGCAAAGATCTTTCAAAAGTTTGAAATAAGTATTGCACATAACTTGAAGTTAACTTGCCACAATTCATCACATTCAAGTTTTAAATCACCTTTTAACAGAAGATTCAACTCTTCAAAACAAAAGGGGTGAATTATCAAGTCTTTCAAACAGCACTCTCATAAAATGCTAAATTCATTCACTGCAAGTTTTATTTTGCATTCTGTAGAGGTCTGTGTATGGAGGATATATATTATACCAAAGCGTGGGGACCAGAAGGGGGAGGGCGAGGGTTCCTTTACATAGAAAATAATCAGAAACACTTTATTTTACATTGCAAAAATAACCATGTAATTACTCTGTAACTACATTGTAAGTACATGGCTGGTGCCATGCTAGTGCGCTAAAGCTACATGCTTGGTAAATTGAAGTGATACCCTAAAATCTGTAAACTAATTACATGTTAATTCTGTTTTGAGTTACATGGTAACTCCCAACTACAATCCCATGTAGTCTGAAGGACATGTAATCAAGCAAGTTCAGAGGAATAGATAATAATTGGTTATGCCCTGTAAATTGAAGTGTAACCAAATAATCTGTAAACACGCTTGTCACACAATCACAAGTAAATATTAGTAGAATAACGATTTCTTACATTAGTCATGCATACTAACATTACGCACCTGTCCCACGGCAGGTTATTTTTTTTCTTTATATATAATTTAAAAGAGCAGACATCTCTGAATCAAACACTTAACATCAATTTATTAATATTAAAAATGGCTAAACATTCACCAAAAATGTCTGCATTGTGAATAATTTTAAAAACTCAGTAAGAAGCTGTAGACAATTTTGTTATTTTAAATTTCTACCCTATGCTTATGCATTTAATTTTTTTTTCTTTTTTTAGGAACTACAGTGTTATCTGTCATTTTCATGCGAATTTTTTTTTTTCATTAATTTGTGACTTCACATCGACTATTTTCTTAAATTATAGGTACACCAACAGCTGGTGCTGGGGAAGGGTGTTTAAGCAACATGCTTTCTCTTTTCTGCAGACTCTAAAATAGCATTGCCAGTGCACAACATTCATAATTTAAAATGTATGCAGAGCACTGAAATGTATAAAAAGCAGAATATAAGAAAATAAAATTTATTAAAATTATTTATATTAAAAAATGAAGTATATGAAGATCTCTCAGTAATAAAAGTACAAAAAGCTACTCTTTGCAATATGAAAAATTGAGGTATTGCATAAAGAGATATCCCGTCAGTGAAAAGTGTGCCTAAAAATGTTCACTGTTGGAAAAACAAGATATACAAAAGTAGTGCATAACAAATATACATTATGTGCATGACAAAATAAGTTAGCTACAAAAACACTGTACCGAAATTCAGCAGGTCATGTACAAAAGGAAAAATTATTATTCAAAGCTAGTTCTCAAACAGTGTTATTTCTTCATCACACCTGTTTACTGAGTAGGAACAGCACAATAGCACACCCCAAGCCACCTACAAGCATTGAAAAGAAGAAAAAGAGGCAAATGAACATTCCAATTAGAATTATGTAGTTCAGGAGAAAAGAAAAAAAGTCCCTGACCAGCTACACAAGAGCACCCTCCATTTGCATGACTGCTTTCAACGTTTGCAGGGAATTCTTTAAAAGCAGCTCCCTTTCTATGTTGGACTATTAGACAGCAAATGCCTCCATTTTGACCTTTGGAACTTAACAGGTATACAGTTCATTAAAGCCTGTATTAAAAATAAAGGACTGCTTTTCCTAAAGATAATCAGTAGGGGTCATCAGCCAGGTGGTACCACCGTAATGCTGGGGCAAGTCTTTGGTTTTGAAGGATCTAAGATGGTTCTGTTAGGTAGCACAACTAGCAAGATTGCCATTAGGTTTTGTTTTTTATTTTAATGTTTTGCACACTGATGATAATCCTTTTAGTGGTGGGTAGGGCATTTAATAAGAGAAAGTCAATTAAAATAAAAGTTACTTCCATGACCAGGGCTTCAAGAGACTATTTTAAATTTACCCCTGAAGCATACTGTTCAACACATAATAATAACGCCTTTCAAAGCTAGAATTTTATTTATAATAAAGCATGCATTACTTGATGAAGTTGGCACTTCAAACACCGACTATGTCCCATGCTAAGTTCTGAAACTGTAATGTTATTTTATTTTATAGGAAGAGTAAGATAAACATACGTACCTTTGCACAGATTTACACAGTTACTTAGTTCAACAGTGCAAAACACTTTGCAACTACTTAACTTTTTTTTTAAACTTTTTTTTTTCATTTTCTATGTTACAACTAAATTACAGGATACCCAAAGTAACTTTAAATCTAAAAGTAAGCCAATCGGCAGCCAATTTGTATATCGATTTTTGTCTTCCAGTTTTGGCTACGAGTATACTATTATGCAAAATCAAAAAACGATATCCTTGAGGTATCTCTAGATTTGTTTGTTTGTTTTTTTAAACGTCAAAATGGAGAGCAAAGGCTGACACCTGATGAGTATTAGTAAATTAGGATATAGAGTTTATATATAACATCAAAAATAATTTTTATACATTTGTTCTTTAGGAGAGGAAATGCTAGTTTTCCCACCAGTTGTAGTTAATTCTAGCTTTGGTAGGTTTCCTGGGGCTGTGACCAGATACGTGAGTTTAAAAATAAATAAGTGCACTCCCTCAGTCGTAAATTTCCCCAATTTTTATATTCTAATTTTTAAAAGTTGTTTAAAAGAAAATAAACCTAGCTCTGCCTACTTTACTGCATTTGTTTTTTTTCTGTTCTGATGTAGTAGTAACTCTGAGGCAGAATGAAATTCTATTCAGCCTCCAAACCCTTAAAATGAGTAGATAATGCTGCTTCAATCTTGCTCATGCATTTGTGTTTGCTTTAACATGCTCTTTCCTGTTAATAATTGTTAACTTCCTCCGCTGCTGTCGAAAGAATAGAAAGGGGATGGAAAAAGAGAGGCAGGAGAGACAAGGAAGGCAAAGGCAGGAGCTTCCCTGGGGGACAGTGTCAGGGCAGACTGATAGTGTTACTGGTGCGCGGTTATTTTCATAAAAGTATTCTTATATGTTATATTATTAACAATAATTTAATTAAAAACCCAAAATACTCTATTGTTTCATTTCTCTTTTAATATTTCTCTCTCCTCTAAGAAAATGTTGCAGGAAGTTTTGGATCCTCTTGCTCTCTGACAAGAGAATAAAACTTCCAGGCAACATGATGGCAATACGAAAAAGGAGTTCATCTGTATTGTTTTCAGTGACACGAGAATCTACAAAACACCTCTATTATAGGCCATTCTTTTCCTTATACTATTGTTAAGTTACAGACTGCTACAAAAGGGCATGCCAGCGTGAAGAGGTTGAGGAAAGGGTCAGAATTAACAGAAGAGTGCACTTATTCCGGGGCCTGACAACGAGCACTGCAGACGTCCTTTAGTTCCAGCGGAATGAAATATGTCGAGGACGGTCACCGCCTTCCTTCACCAGGGGCTTGTGGAATTCCCTGCCAGCACGAGAATGAATAGCAGCCCAGCAATATTCACAGTAATACTGCAAACAGGTAACATTAGCACAGAAAAATGGAGCAAATTTTCCCCCACAACGGGCCCCCTGACATTCATCACACAGCTGATCATCCAAGACATATGGCTTCACTTCCACCTGCAATCAAAAATTTTAAAAAACGGGTTTATATTTTCAGTGACTGGACCAGGCAACTCTTACTGTGGACGCACACCTCCATCTCCTGTCTGAATGACTCTGTGCCAAGATGCCCACTAAGAAGGGTCAATAATCCTCTTACTAAAACGAAGAGAGTCCATCTTTTAGGAACCTGGTGAGGTTTCTATGCCCATCACTCTCCACTTTTGTCTTATTAAATGAACACTTTTCAGAGGACAAAAGGATACCACCAGAAATAAAAAAATGTGAAGGCAACTGTTCAGACAAGCACATTATGAAACTACATCCATAGGAGAGGCTTCTTTACAGACACAAACCGTCATTTTAATAGTGGATCTGGATGTTCACCATGTGTGGAATCATCATTCAAGCAAGACCAGCTAAGAGCTTCCCAGTTCCACAAAACAACACTTCTATATTGCAATCAGAGGGCAGAGGCCTGGCTTCGGTGTCACAAGCTTCTGAGCTGTAATAAAGCCTGGGCATGGTTTCTATTTACAGTGTACATATCTTGGGTTACAATCACAAAGCTGGGGCTCTGGGAAAACAATCTAAAACCCTGCGTTGTTCTTGGCCAGTAAGAATGGTTTACTTGAGTCTAAAAGTCAAAGGTGAATTTATAAAAGTGGGCCGGCCTGGTCTGGTGTTCCACAGGCCCACCTGTCATTTGAGCCTCTTGAGCATTAAAAATACCCTGGCTATTAATGCACCAGTGAGAAAAGGGTTGGTTATTTTTAGTCTTGGAAAGGCTCATGGCTGAAACTCCCTCACACCAGACTATCACTGTCATTGGTGCCATCCAGTTCTGACAAGCAGGCCTGACAAAGGTTAGCACGACCCAGAGGAACAGGAAGAGCAGACCTGACGAGAGCACCACCGGGCTCTGGCCCCGAGGCCATTCCATAACGTCCAGAGTGGCGAGAACACTGGTCGAAGAACTGGATCGTAGAGGAGCAAGTCTGAATTTCTAACGACTACCGTTACAGCTCTGAAACCTATGCTGGACGGAAGCCGAGAGGCAGAAGCGGCTGTTCAGTCAGATGTCCTTGTACAAATCTTTTGGTGTGAATCAACAGCGAGGAGGCGTGCTAACGTGCACTGCGGCTAACCTTGCCCCGTCCCTCCATGTTTATAACAGTCTTCCCCTTTCTCTTTGGTAGCGTCACAGTGTGGTTCCATGACCGCTATGATCTCACATTTTGTACTGCCACGGGGGAAGAATGCACGTGAAATGAAAAATGAGCAGTACGTGTAAAGCACTATTGACCTGATCATTTCTACATGACGGACTGAGAACAGCACAATGCAGTCAATCCTTCTGAGCACAAGGCCTCACAGCAACGGATGTCTAGTCAGTGCTAACGAAAGCGCAGTCTACCATGAAATAAGGAGCAAACACCAGGATGGAAATCAACGCTTACTTCCTTCACATCAAGGTCTTTCTATGAGGAAAAAAAGTCAGCCACATTAAACACTGAGCTTCCTCATGGAGTGGATCCCATTCTGGTGTAAATGCCTATCTCACCACAAACTAGGAACAAACCGGGTGTCTCCTGGAAGTCGGTTCACAGGCTGACTCTGAGTAGTGCCAATACAAGATGGAGTCCCATCTACCAGACAGAAACTCGGGGGGATGGGGACTTCTTGTCCAAGGATGAAAACGTTTGTTGAATGCATGGGACACAAAGGCTAGAAATGAATCTGCAAGTGCAAAGAACTAAGATACATAACGGAACACAGCGTTTCCAATACAATACATTAGGAAACAGAGGAACGGCTGTCTCTGAGGTTTTCTGCAGCCTTTTGATTCAGAGGGTAAACTGAACAAAGAGGGATATGAAGTGCTGGACGGACTGCTGACGAGCTACCACCTTATGGCCAGCAGCTGACAGACTACAAACGAAAAGGTTATGGCTTCTTCTACTTCATGTGTTCTAATGAGATGTTTCTAAGACATGCAGTCCTAGACATGAATTTATTCCACCATTTGCTACACAGCATTGGAAAAGAGTGCTTGCTGAGGTGCTCGTGATGTCCGAAGGTGGAAAAAAAAAGGTCAGGAGACCCCAAGGGCATTCATGCCTATATGCTAATATAACTCAGTACACCTTTGTAATATTTACACTTTTGTAAATATTTATTGAATGACTAACTGAATAAATGAATGAATGTAGGTGACAGCTTAGGAAAAATTAAATTGGCTCAAGTAAGTAAACTGATATAGTGCTCTGGTCAGGCCACTCAAAAAACTAACAGAAGAAATTCATAGGAAATCCCTACATGTATGATACAACATACATCTAATTGGTGCTACAGGCTTACCCGTCAGCTGTCAGTTTACTGTCATATAAAATTCCCCCATTCCAATCTTGGTAATGGCACATTTAGATGGCCATTTCTAGAACTTTCCAGAATGCGGTGTAGGACTTACCCGTTTATCTATCTCTCCATGCTGCAGCTGAACAAAGCGGGCACTGATAGCAGCTATGTAACTCTGTTGATTAGAGAATGCGACTCGCCCTGCTCCTTTTGGGTATTTCAGCTCAGGGTCGGTATCAATCCCAGCATAGCACACACCTCCATACAGCCGATCCATTATCATGGCGAGCTCCACTAAAGAAGAGAGAAGCAAAGAGGGTATTTGAAACCAGGAAAATTTATCTGCCTCACCAAAGGTTTCATCCAAAGCAGGTCTTCTGTACTCTGAGCTCACATCATTATAATAATTATTTCAAACCAACCATTATTATAACCAGTTGTCCATTGTGTTAATTTTTTTATCTTTTAACTAAGGGCCGGGGCTCTGGTGGGTGTTTTATATATGCTCTCTTTTAATCTTCACAGCAACACTATGAAGTAGGTGTGATTTCTTCAGGAAACTGAGGCACAGAGAGGCTGCTCAATCTGTCCCAGGTCACAGGTGGTTAAGTGACAGTGCTGGGCTTGGCACCCTGGTCTGTCTGCTCTATACCACGCTGCTGCCATATACTTACCAGCTAACAAGGTCTTGTTTAATAGAAATAATAATTTGAACACTAGAAAACCGAGTGGTAGACTCTTTGCTTGGAGGGCCTCCTAGCTTATCTCCATCAAAATCTTGTTACCTTTCCCCACTCTAGCTATTCAACAGTTTTTCATATGAAAACTTGAAATAATGAATATATCATCTTCCCCATGAAATGGTACAATTCTGAAATTGCATTCTTGTTCATTTTATGTTCTTTATCTCACTTATACTATTAAACCTCAAGTTAGTTGATTGGGGATGAAACTCTTCTGTAAGTACTACTCTAAAACAATACACTGCTAAGAATCCTATTATATTGCAGAGCTCAGTAAATAACAGATAAGCCCATGAGGCCATGGAAAATAAGCACTAAACATCTCATACATAATCTGTTCTTGAAGGGCGGTTTCTCTTTTTCAGGTAATGATGAGAGTGATGATTACTGGCATTATGAGACATCACCAAAGCACTTGGCTTTGGTTATCTCACTTAACCCTCCAAGCACTTCTATGTCAAGTAGATACAATTATTACTCCATTTGACCAATGAGGAAATTGAGAATTAGAGAAATTAAGTGATTTGTCCAAGGTCACTCAACCTGGGAGCAGGACACATGAATTCAAACCCACACACTTTGATTTTAGAACTCTCACACGCAGACATTAACTCAAATGCTTATGGAGACTTTATCCTGAAAACGCTTTATCAAATATTTCTTATGCTAAAGGATAAAGAGGATTTTCTGTTTGTTTAATCATACCAGCTCGTAATGGTCGAGGAACACCGCCAACAAATATAGTTTTTCGTGGGTCAAGAGGCTGTGAACCATCCATCACAAAGTCACTGTCACTGAGATTCCAAGGCCGAATCTGTACCTAGGGAGTGTGCAAACCCAAACAGCTCATTCTCAGGACAATTTATAGGGAAAGAAGCCTACAGTTGTTGCAGAGTACTATATATATTTAAAAGCAATAATCCACATCATTACATCAAAGCAATAAAGCTGTAAAACTAGAAAAGTCTTAAAAATGGCATATCCCAATCCTTCATTTCATTTTTAAGAGTAAGCTGAACCAAAGTGGAAATTTAATTGCCTATTATAAACTAAATCTATTTTTCAGAAGAAATTCAGCTACTTTATCAACTGCATTATCCAGTGAAGTCTTTTAATGGTAAAGGTTTACCAATATTTTAATTAACCAAAAATTCAGTGTTCAATTAATATCCACAAATATACATACAGAATGTCAATGTTAGGAGCTTGACAACAGTAACAGAAATTTATTTCTATTCTACTCACAAACATGTCAATTAACAGAAACATTAAGATGTCTGTGGGTTTTTCAGACAGTGTAACAGAGATGACGGCAAATACAAGAAGCTGTTTCATGCTGGAATGCACTTACTGGCTTATCTTTGATAGTGGGACTTGATACACACAGGTAGAGTTTTCCGTCTTCTTCAATACATGCATCAATGAGAGCCTGAACAGAGCTTTCGTCTTGAAATAGCAGAAATGCGTAGCCTGATAAAAAGGAAAAAAAAAACTTATATGGTTTCCTAACTTTTTTTCTAATTCTTCAAGAGAAAGGAGGTATAAACAAAAACTAAGGAAGGGAAAGGAGTTAAAAAATGAAAAACAAGAATTAAAACTTAATATTCATACCCAAAGGCTGGTATTATCAACATTAAGTTCAGTTTGATATCTTGAAACATCTTTTAGAGTAAAGTTCAACTTGAACTGAAAGTATATGTCAGGTAGAAATTTTAAAGACACATATGGGAATATGTAAGTTTAACAACAGAAAATTCTCCAGTGAGGGAATTTATGAAAAGGCTAACCATTAAACAATATAAGGATAAATTGTATGTGTATACTGAATCTTGAGAATTACCTTTTGGAGGAAAATAGGATTTGCTCTCTGCTTTATGAGGCCAATCTACAATCAAAGGGCCAAAGCGTCGAAAACTAGCTGTGATCTCATCTGATGAACAAAGCAAAAAAGTAGGTTTAAATATTTTTATGATCATTTTGGGGAAGTAGTTTAGAAAAAGCAGTTTCAAATCTACTATTTACAAGAATAGGACCCAAAACGCCTACATCCCTTCATCTAGATTCCTCAACTGCTACTGTTTTGCACATTTGCCATCCCCCTCTCTTGTCTCTTTCCCTTCCTCCTCCTATCTAAATGCATGCATGATCCTACCTGCCTACCTACCTGCCTGCCTACCTACCTGCCTACCTACCTGCCTACCTACCTACCTGCCTACCTGCCTACCTACCTACCTACCTGCCTGCCTGCCTACCTACCTGCCTACCTACCTACCTGCCTGCCTACCTACCTACCATCTTTTTCTGGCACTCTATAACCCAAAACATAACTGTTAGCAACTGCTCAAAACAACGTCACTTCCTTATATATCAATCATACAACCCTCCCAATCAGGAAGTCAATTCTTACACAATACTACTGCCCAATTCACAGACTCCATCCGAATTCCAACCTATCTGAACAGTATCTTTTTGCCTTTCTGATCCAGCACACCCAGTGCATTTGGATGTCATGTCCCGAGGGCTTCAGTCCTCTTCGGTTAGGAACAGCTCCCCATCCTTTGCTGTCTTTGACATCTTGATAGCCTTAAGGTACACAGACCATGCGTTCTGTAGAATGGCTCTCGGCCTGGGCCTGTACTGTTTCCTTACGTCCAGACTCATGGTATGCATTTGAAACAGGATTCCCATCTAATGATGCTATGTCATCCTGTCCTAACTGGGCAGGTGACTCTTGTCACCTGGTCATGTTGGTATCTGCCAACTTGGTGTTGTGTTACCACCAATATCCTATTTCCTCATCAGCCTTGGCATGGACTGAAGACTCCTGCCTGTATCAGCTACCACAGTGATGGCTGCCAAGTGGTGATTATCTAATCCTATCATTCCCTCTACATTTACCAGTTAGTATTACAAGTATACAATAAGAAAGAGCTCTCTCTTCTCACTTGTTTATTTAGTCATGTATTTGTATCAACACAGACTTATTTTATTCAATGAGTTGTAATTTAGTTCTTTCCTTATTTATTTTGCTCAATTCGTCCCCCAAATTGTCCCTGATTTGGCCAATGGGAGTTCCTATGTCCTTTTGACCTATCCCCAACATTCTCTAAATGCTTCCAGGCTTTCTGACCCAAGAAGGTGCTCCAGCCTCTCATCTTGTTCTTTGTCTGCACAGTCGTAGAATCAGCTTTTTTTGTTTGTTTTTCTTCAAGAAGTCCTGGTTCCTTTCAGCGACTAAAGATCATTAGAAACTAAGGTCTGGGTACTCCATGTGCGCATTGCTAGTGAGTATTCATTTTTCCTAAGTCTTCTCAGTGGGCAAAGCTAGAAAATATATAAATATACTCACACAGACACATTTATAACTATTTCTATATCTGTGTGTGTTCATAAAAATGAGCTCATATCGATACTTCCAATTCCACTCCCACATCTCATGGTTCTCTCGTCACCCTCCTTTCTATGTTTGTAAGTTCCTTTCTCACAATGAGAAACCTAGGTCCCATTATCAATACACATACCTACTTGCTCAATGAAACCAATCTTTTGGCTGCCTCAGGCATCTCTGCTACCTTCTGCCTCTGGCCCCAGCCCCTGCTGCCCTGATTCACTGGACAGCACGCACGCTGCTGCCGAGGCCTCTGAGCAGGCAGGTCCCCCAACCCCACCTCTCCACACACGCTCTCCACTTGCCACCCTCTTTCCCTTTCCCTCACCAACTGACTTCCTTGGACACAATATTTCTGAGCCTTGCGAGGAAGAGAAAGGAAGGCAATGTGGGATGGGCAAGGAAGGTGTGATCACATTTTAAATATTCATTTCAATGATACCAGTTATGTTATACTATATATTTGGACAACTAATGAGTAGACCATAGGAAAATAAATTTCCAGGGAACTTCTGGAAAAAGTAAGCACGTGTAGATAAGGCCTGGTAGGAAGGCAGGACAGAGAACAGAAAACAGAGATGGGGAATATGCTGAAATTCCAGTCTGGTGGAACGACTGTGAGTGTACCCCGCTGTGCTCTGACACCTGTTCTACGGAACCATTTAGCTCATGGGAGACTGGTAAATGGGGGAATGACTTCACAGTAACCTAGAAGTTACTGGTTCACAAATGATTTTTCCTAGGCTACGTGAGCTAGCTTAGTGGGGGGTAGAATTGTAAGCTTCCTCAGGTAAGGAAAAAGCCCCAGCTGTCTGATGTGCAGGCAGGCACCCTCTCAGTTCTCTTAATAACAAAATGAAAACTGGGCACAGCAACCAGGGCTCTCTCGCCAGACAGGTGTAGCCCAACCAAGCAGGGCTCTCATCTCCTGAGAGTCTGTACCACCTCAGGTGCTCAGAGGTCCACTTCCCCCCGTGCTGTCTCCAAGCTTGCAGGCCAGTATATCTGCTCTACTGGTTTGATGCATTTCCAATATTCCTTGAGACAGCCTCTAACCTCTGCTACGTGAATGGTCCAACTTATCTCCAAGGAACTACAGCTGACCCTGGAACAACACAGGTTTGAACTGCAAGGTCCACTTATGTGCAGATTTTTCTCAATAAGTACTATAAATGTATTTTCCCTCCTTATGATTTTCTTAGTAACACTTTCTTCTCTTTAGCTTTATTGTAAGAATACAGTACATATAGCATATAAAATATGTGTTAATCGACATTTTATGTTCTCGGGTAGGCTTCCAGTCAACAGTAGGCTATTAGCAGTTAAGTTTTGGGGGAACTGAAAGTTATACCCAATTTTTTGATAATGTGGGAGTCAGGGGGAGGGTTGGCACCCCCTACCTGCCCCCACCATGTTGTTCAAGGGTCAACTGTAATTTTGTTTTTGTTAGTGTTTCTGGTACAAAGTTCATCGGGTTTTAAATGATCTGCCTCTAACACTATTTCCCCCATAAAGCCTGTGATTTTTAGTGCATAATTCTGCAGAACACAATGTTCTTCAGGAATCCATATTTCACATTAGAGTAAAAGGCTTGCCAACCTAAATTGCTACTGACTTATCAACATATTTGGTCTTAAGGATAAAGCAAGGTGACTAGCACAATTCCTATTAATTTTTGCTTAGCTTAAACTGCCTCCTTTGCCAAATTTGTCAGATTTACCTGTGCCTTTAAGAATCTTAGGAACTGTCCATTTAAGGTTGTTCAGGGATTTTCCAAAAAGATGGAGGCTGTCTAGGCCAGAGGAGTCTACCCCAGGCAAGGTCAGGGAAGAGTCCATCTGCTCTCCTCTTTCTGTATGCAGGCAGTAATTTATTCATCAAAGACCAGGTGGGGCTCAGGAGTGCTAGCGACTTAACCTTAAAGGGAGAAAAACCCTAGAATCCAGAGTACTAAGGAAAATTAGGATTTCAGCCAAAGGAAAGAAAAGGCCACCCCAGGAGCTCACTAGAGTGGACAATACTGTCACAGATGTCAGCCCAGGACGAAGACCGTGAACACACGCTCTGCCCTGGGGAAAAGGGGGCGCTGACGGAGGCTAGCCTGAAATTTCCACCGAGACATTTTATTGTAGATGAAAAAAAACAACCTGTGTTTATTTCAATCTTTGGCTTTTTGAAAGCATTTTTGTCTCAACCTTCCAAAAGAAATGATCTTCTTAAGGGAAATAAAGTGGCTCAATACATTTAATCTCAGTCTAAATGCAGCATTATTAAACCTTATAGATTTTGAGAGAAAACTCTTCTATTCTCTATAATATTAATTAGTTTCTTTCCATTTCCATTCAGGAAACCAAGACAAAAGAGATTCGGGAAAAAAGCAACCAAGGACATATGGTTGCTACACAGTCTGCTACTTTGATTTTTATTAGGGTCACTTACACCCACAGATGAATAAAATATTTATGGACAACTAGTCCTCTAAAATCTTTGCATGTCTGGCTTCTTATTCAGGTCTCAGCTCAAATATCATTTCCTCAAAGGGAATTTCCTGAACTGCCTACTCTAAGATGACTCCCTACAATGTTGTATCACATCACCCTGCTTTCTTTTAAAAACTGATTCTCTGCTCTTTTCTTGCATGCGTCCTCATTTTTTATCTGCCTTCCCCACTAGAACGTCACCTCTCTGCGCACAGGGACTGTCTACTTTGTCCACCACTGTCCACCAACCTAAGAACAGGGCTTGGCATTTAGGAAGCATGAAATGTTTCACCAGTGAAACCTACTCAGAAAATCACATAACTCTTAAAGATGTCCTTTCTCATGGTATAACTGTAGGCCACATTTTTCAAAAGTTCATGTTTAATCTAAGATTGCAAACTTTTAAACTATTAACTACACATTTATGGAACACGCCTAAAAAGGTGGAAAAGAAATAGGAAAATACATCATTGATTGGGCCAAAGCAGCACACACAGACAAAAATGCAGTTAAGCGCCTATTTTTGCCCACAACAGGATCCTGGAGAAGGTCTCCCAGTGATGTTTCCACTTTTTCATTTAGTCCAACCACTTGCTTCAGCTGGTTCCCTGCTCCCCTTCCTTCTGTGAACTCATCTCATAGGCCTTGATAGGGAGACGTGAAAAGAGCACAATGCAATCAAAACTGAGTACCTGGAGCCAGGTACGGCTGCCGTTACAATAACAGTGACCACTATCTATGAGTCACCTACTGTGTGCCGCTGTCTGGGTACCATGCTAGTAATGCTTTTTCTAAATATACCTTCATCGATGTCAGGAGGTAATCCGCCCACAAACACCTTGCGAGAATATCGTTCCACTCTTTCTCCATTCTGGTGAGTGAAGCAGTGAGGGGAACCCAGGCCACTGTGGAGAGGCTGCTCCCCACGGCCATCGTCCAAGAATCCATCTTCCATTGGAAACAGCGAAGACTGACCTGGAAGAGAAAGCAGGACAGAGAGCTAACAGAAAATGTTCCTGGCCACTGATTATCTTGCACAACAAACACAGAGGACAGCTGACTCAATAAAGCTGCCGCTTTTATTTTTCTCACTGAATAACAAATAGGATCGCTTCAATATATGCTCTTGAATTCCTATCCCCTTCAAGTCCCACTGAGTCAGAGAGAAAGAACATGGTTAAATAGAGGGCTGCTCAGCTATCCCGCCGGGATCCAGAAACTTCCGTGCGATGAAATGGAGTACAGCAGGAGGGAGCACTCTTCTGAGAGGCTGGCAGCAGACTGCACTGCCTGGGCAGGGCCCCATGGCCACTGGCAACTTAGGCATGCACACTGAGTATTGGGTTTGATTGTCAGATGCTAGATCACTTAACATTTTTCTTAAGACATCCAATAATATAGCCTGTACAATTTCCTCTAAGAATGTCCTTAAAAACGAACGTGTCCATTTTTAAAGTGAGCGCTCATCTTAATTTACCTTAACTAATGGGAGACAATCAAAACCCAATTCATGCTGTTATCTAACTTCACTGTCTAGTCTTCTAAAAGTTAAGATTTTTAGGCATGCTAAAGATCTATTTGCTGTTAGCTGGGTAATAATCAGCTGCTACAGGTAATAATTCTCAAAACTAGTCATCAAGTCTGCTGTTTGACAATCATGTCATAAAGAATACATAAGCAGAAAAGACCAGACATGCAATGGAGTCACTAGTCTTCCCATATTGCCCTGACAGCAAAATGCAAACTTTGAAATCAGAAGCAAAACCCAGAGCTACAAATAACTGCAGAATCTCTCAAGCACTGTTTTGTCACTTTCAGGCTGCCAATGTACTTCTAGGTACTACACAAGGAATTTGTTAATGGATCCTGCAGAACTGTATCTTAAGCGCTCTTCCGTTATTGAAACATTCCAATGTCCTTTCGTTGCCACCCTTGTCTTCTTTTCAACTTTCATTACTAAACACGAATAACGGTATACTTGTTATGAATTGATCCTGTAAAACCACAGCTCAAGAGTTATATAATGAAGATTTAAAAGCGACTATAAAATTGGAGGCTATTTCCTGAATGATCTTCAAAAATAATTTCCATTTTGAAGCTGAGCTATTTAACTAACTTACTTTCTTGTAAAAAAAGGCAAAACTATTACACACGGCAAAAATCAGGTTTACTTAGGCACCTCTAGGAAATGACACTTTAAATTTTTCTAAAATTTCTAGAGCTTCCCCCACCCCCACTGTTTGAAATTTATAGGAGTCATCATTTATTTAGATAATTTCATTTTAAACCAAATGTATTACGCTGACTTGGTTAAAAAAAAAAAAGGTAGACACAAGGTATTCAAGCATAATTGAACCTCTAATATAATCAAGTATTTTGAGATGAGTCAGTCTTTATTTTCCTTTTTAAAGAGTCTTAAATTGTTTTGCCTAAGAAATTCCTTTCAGAAATATAAAAGTAAACAAGTCTTTAGATATAAATGAGTTGAGTTTATAATATAATATAGGGATAGGGAAAACATTTTGATTCAAATCCAAATCCTATCATTCCGACTCCCTGACATTAGAAGGTCTATAAGGTCAATTACAACGCGTAAAGTATGCATGGATCAAATCTATGTTTCACTCCCCCTCCTCCCTTTCCCACAAGGGTTAGAAATTGAGCAAACTTGGGTCCTCTCCAAATATAACTACACATTCAAAAGTTAAAAACAATAATGTTACCTCTCCTTCGCCCATATGTCCTTGCTGCATGTCAAATGAGAAAAAAAAAAAAACAGCCTTTCAAACATTGTCAAGAGAATCAATGTGATTTCATCTACCAGCTTTTGAAATGGAAAAAATTTGGCTATATATAATTTTGTGTCAAAAACAAAGAATTTGGATGGTGAGAGGTCAATTTAATGCTTTCTTATTTAAAGTTCTTTGAGGACACGCTGAAGCTGTATTAAACCTTACTTGCTTTAAGGGAAGCCTTTTGCCGTAACTGTCACTCAAGGCCCTAACTAGTATGAAACTAAGGGAGTATGTGACATGATCTAAACCAACTATACCACATTGATCTTATTTTCTCTCAGAATTCCCTGACTCACTTGCAATTCAGTAAATATTACAATATTTCATTCTTGGCTTTTTCACCATTACAGGATAAATAGTAATCATCTCTCAATGAATCCCTAATAAAGAATATCATAACAACTGAAATCTTTAGGCAATTTATAAACTTCCTTTTAGCCAAAGGCTTCTTGTCAATAATCAAATCTTCCACTATGCTCCAAATGTTGAAAATAAAAGGTTTGGTATTGTATTGCCAAGTAGGCTGAAGCCAAGAAGAGAAGTATGTAAATATACTTATATAATTATATGTATTTCCCTGACTACTCAAGAAATGGCAGCATAAACTTTAAATCAGAAAACTTATGAGAAAATGTTTTCCCTGAAACAAACTGACACTTCTAAGCCCAGCCGTTCCAATACCTCAATTCTATCCAACAAACATCTCTTGAATGCCTCATCCTGCTAGGCACTCTGCATAAACAGCACATGGCCCCGACGACACAGCCACATAAGCAAATCATGACAGTGTGGCGTACATATTTGCTATAACAGTTATGTGATAGGTGCGACAGGAACAGAGAGCAACTGGTTTGGATGAAGGAGTCAGCGAGAGGAGGGTGTGGCATTTGAGATGGACCTTAAAAGGAAAACAGAGAGAGGGCATCACAGGGTGACGATGCTGCAGATGGGGCTGCTGTGATGTTCAGTGAAAGGTGCCAGAACAGAAGCATATGGAACAAGCGGGGTCTTGGCTGGAGACTAGGTCTAACCAGGAAACTGAGACAGGTTTTCGAATTAGAAGGTAGAGTAACATCTTTACGAAGTCATTACACAAACTGGTCAGGGTTTTCATTCTTAGCCCACTAGATAAATGCTAAATAAGCATATCTCAGTTCTGAGTTATAAGAATAACTTAGAAATACCACATGTGTATTTTCCAAAATGGATACCACCATTTAATATTGTAGATAACACTGGATTTCACCAAAGTACTTGGACAAATGGATTAAAACACAAAATCTCCCTCAGCAGTTGAGTTTTCACTTTAATAAGTCTTAAGTTTGGGAAAGGGAAAGTTATTATTTTTTTTTACTAAATCAACCCAACAGAGGTTAGAAAGACAATGATACCACAAAGAACATTCTATTCATACAACTGCTCCAAAAATAAGGGAGTATGAGGAAACGAATGATCTGAAAATCCTGGTTCTGTCAATGTTAAAAAGCTGACTGATGTTGCTTGGATTTCTGAGAAAACATTTGAAAAGAGTAGGCTTTTAAAAGCTACAAAATTAACATAAAGCTCTCATAACTTGTATTATTTCAAAAATAAATAGTTTTCCAGAACGGTAACGGCTACTGATCAGGAGCAAATTCAAATACTCTCGAAGTCTTTAAATGTGTACTTTCAAACTTTGATTTTGTACCATAAAATTAAGCTGGTTAATATAAAAGAATTCATGGTTAAATTCTGATATTTAATTCTGAAAACTATTTAAAAACATTTTTCCACAGTAAGGGAAAATTGGTTATAGGTGTACAACGCTTATAACTATAAAATCTGCCCAAACAGGGAAATTAATATAAATAAGTACCCCCCGCCCCAAAATAAAAACAATGACATCTGGAGCACAGGAAATGAGAATGTTTAAATGTTTGATTTCCACGTATTATAATGCTGTTAATACTGTACATATTTGACGTAGATTTGGACATATGACATATACACAGGAACGTACACAAATTGTTAAGTGCACAGGTCAATGAATTTTCCATGATGTGAACACACCTGTGTAACCAGAACCCAGATATTAACAGAATGGTCAGTGGTGCCACTTTATCTTACGGATGAAAGACATACTAAGCACCTTTTCCTTACTTATTTCAAATTGTACTTGGCGCGAACATATTATGTATGATGAAATATTTGTGACACAGATCCTCACCACTTTCCTGAGGAAAGTGTCTTAGATTTCCAACCTCATGATTATCAAGTGTTGCACATCATTTGATGTTTCTCAAACATCCAGGGAAGTAGCAAGTAAAAAAAAAAAAATTACTTTAAATATATTTAAAGAAATTCCACATTTGGGAAACTTCTGTTAAGTCAGCTGAAATAAACTCTGCTCAGGAATTTCCTTTAATTACTGAAGAGTACACTTATGAGATTTCAAAAATGCATCACTCACTCTGTTACTGAGTAAAAATCTTCTAGTCCCAACAGAGTTCAAATGAATACTATTTATATGTTTATCTAATTTTATTTTTATTTCTTAGTTTTGATTCATAAAGTCCTCAATAATTAATGTTCAGTATTAACATGACTCAAGAATGTGCTAACTGGGCTGGAAACATTATGGCTGTAAATTTTTATAACTTCTCAATGCATGTTGTTACTAGATTAATAAATACTTTATTTCTAAAATGTCCTTACAGGACTGCTTACAAATGCCCTTTATTCATCATTAAATTCCTTCTGGTAAAATATTCCACTAATCTGGGATGCTAGACTTGCAAAGCAAGTACACAAAGGTTTATCAGGTCTTTTTTCGACGTACTATATATATATTTCATTATAAAAATGAAAATATTTATCTATTAAAAAGTATCTTTATTCATTTGTTGTAACATTTGTTACAGTAAAAAAAGAAACAAAGTATCCACAATAGTGATACCTTCATTAGAAATACACAGTATGAAGCCATTTAAAAATATGGCACACGTGCTGATAGTACTAAGAGGTAGTTTGTATGAGGTGTCTAAAGTGTGTACTTTGATTCTTACTGTGTAAATTTGAAAAAAATATATATAGATAAGTATGTGGGAATATGCATAAATTTTCTTTCTAGAAACAACTACAAGAATCTCCGGGGAGAGAAACTGGGACGGGGAAAGAAAAGACTTCACTTCTTGTTTTATCCTTTTTTTGTACTATTTAAATTTATTATTATTGTGCACACTTTATTGCTATGTTTTTCCTTTTTTTCTTTTTCTTTTGTTTTTATTTCTTTTTGCTTTACTTTTTTTCTATTTTATTATCTTTTTTATTCTTTTTTTTCTTTTTTTTTTTTATTCTTCTTATTTTTTTTTCTTCATTACTATATTTTCTAATGGACCCTTTTTGGTTTTCTTCTTGGTGCTTATATTAGAAACAAATGCAGTATTAAAGAAAAGCATCCTTTCCTAATTCTGTGAAGAACAGGCCTCTGGGCCGTGAGGGCTAACATTTGCTAGGTTTTCGGAGGCCATGAAACACTGCTCCTGCGCAGCTCCTCGGGCCTACCTCAGTCCCTCCACCTCCCTCATTGTTCCAGGGCTGAGAAGGCAGGGCTGTTTGGAAGAACCAGGGAATAGGGCTCAGATGAAATGATGCTATCAAATAACTGATTCTTCTTGTAGGACTAAAAAAAAAAAATAAAGTATGTGGGGGAATTAGTCAAAATAGTAAATTGGTTAAAAAATTATAAATCAAAGGCTGGAAGGAAGCTCAAAGGGGTGACTCTGTAAACAAAAGAATAAGGATGGTAGAACCAAAAGGCAGACAAATCATCACAAAGGCTGGGGCATACAACTCAACGAAGATGCACAGAATCATTTTAAATGACTTTATACACCAACCCCTAATTTAATGGCATCATTGTCACAAAATTATTTTAGATTTATGCTTAATAGTTAGAATTTCCATTCACATTGGCTTTGCGTTTATACTAGCTTGTTAGTACAATAGTCACAGAATATTGATAAGATATAATAAGTATATGAGACTATTATTTGTGAACAGCTATCATAGAGAAGGTCAGAGACTACAGTTTCTGCATATTCCTAACCCCCAGTTTCTTATTTATAAAAATGGAGAGCTGATGAGAGACTAAACGATACCATATGTACATGTGATGGTCGGATGGTCAGATGCTCAGTAAATAATCATTTTCTGCTTTCTCAAAAGTAAACTCACATGTATATATTCTTAGGTTGGTCTTCAACAGTTACGCTCAGCTTTTCATTACTATCCTAAGGCTAACGATTGTACAGCACTTTAGAGTTTACAGTGTTTCCTTATTATCTGTGTCATGAAGGGATCTTTCACCATGCTCCTTACTGTGGCAACTAGAACCATATTATATACATTTTCAGTGGCTATAACCTACATTTTCCTTGGTAAATTATACCCTCCCTTTTCATCAATTCCTCCCCTCCACCCCAGCCCTTAAGCGAACAATGTTCCTCCGTTCATTCCAAAGAACTATAATTAAGAGATGTTGTTCTACACTAACCTTTAAAAGATCTCTTACTAATCTCCTCTGAGACAAGCAAATATTTCGGTTCATGTTTCTAAGTGAAAGACATCTACAGAGGAAAGGAAATACACACAAGTCTGTTAAAACTTAATATATTGTGTTGTTGTTCTGAACTTTTCTTGCTACAAGGTTCCTTTTTGAAGCAGCTAATCCTGAGGGCTAAAGCAGTGGAATGGAAGGTTGGAGAGAAAAGTACAATGCATCAGCACTTTTAGAAAGAGGTGGCAGTGGCTGCATGTTAGTTTTCTTAGGCAAAATAAAGCTTCAAGCTGGGTAAAGAGAAAATTAATGTTTTAATATTATGTCCATCTCCGACCTAAACCAAGACACACTAGGGAAAGCTGAGATAAGCCAGTTTATGCTTAGCACTCCTTTCTGACTTAGCTGAGAAATGGAGTAGATTTCAGGTTTGCTTTCATAACCATAAAATGGATATTATAGTTATATTCCTGTTACATAAAATGTTTATGTAGCAAAAGGTATCTGCTATGGGATGAATTATTTCCCCTCCTCAAAGTTCATATGCTGAGGTTCTAACCCTCCATTTCTCAGAAGCTGACTGCATTTGGAGAGAGGGTCTTCAAGGTTAAATGAGGTCAAGGGGCGGGCCCTAATCAAATATGACTGTTGTCTTTATAAGAAGAGATTAGGATACAGACATGCACAGAAAGAGGACCACGTGAGGACACAGAGAGAAGACAGCCATCTACAAGCCAAGGAGAGAGGCCTGAGAAGAAACCAACGCAGACTTCCAGCCTCCAGGACTGAAAATTCATTTCTGTTTAAGACACACAGTCTGTGGTGCTTGTTATTCCAGCCCTAGCAAACTAGGGCTGTAGCTAAAAAGTAGCTAAACATACATACATATACATATACATATATATTTAATGTTATATATATATATATATATATATATATATATATATATATATATTTAGGATCCAAGGATTCCCCCTCAAAAAAATCTCTGCAACTAATAACCCGGCAATAAATTGAAGAATTCACTAGAATGTGCACTGCAATATTCTTCACATAGTTATCGATTATTATTTGTTGAATTATACTGGCAATGTCTTTAAATGACATGATGGCAATGAAAGTCACTGCATAGTATGAAAACTGATGATTGAGAATGACCCTTCCCCCCAAAAAAAAGTAACTTGATCAACTAGATGAGTCAGCTCCTTTTATCTTCATACATGCAAATTCCAACATCATTCCAACATAAACTGATGAAGCTGGGAGAACTACTCAATCTTTTTAATTTTTATTTATTCAGGATTTAAACCCACTTCTTTCCAAAAGGCTTTGAGATTGCCTGAAAATTTCAAAACACGTTATACAATAAAAATCATAGTCGAAATTCAAATGTTCATGTGAGAAAGAGAACAAACAGCTCTTCTATCTTTTTATCCAAACAAAACAAGAAATGGCTTTCAACTCAAAAGAGGCTTGGAAGAAAAAGCTCTGAAAGTTGTAACAAAGTGGAGTAGCTATATAATCACCTTTATTAAGGCTTTTAAAAGCCTGAATAGACTATTTATATTGGACGGGGAAGAATAGCTCCTTATAGTTCCTTAAAGTCTTAAAACTGAATAATGAACATAAAGCAACACAATGTGTTGGGTTTTTATTTTCAGATTTAAGAAAAGGTGGCATGGATTAAGCTGCAAAGGGACTGCATTTAAAAGTGGATATAGTGAGAGTTAGGTTGTCTGTCTTATAATAACAGACAAAGAAGCATCTTCAACCACAGACAATTGTTACAAATTCATCTGAATCCCTTATTTTGTGTTTAATTTCTTATAAAACTTTGGCAACAACAGAAAACTAACAACAACAGAAAAATGACACTCGATTTTAATTTTGTTATGTGCTAGGCGCAATGCTCAATGATTTACGTGCATTTAATTTTCACTGCAATCCTATGAGATGGATAGTACTGGGTGATTTCTGAATTTACCTTAATTAAGCACAATTAATGTATTACACTAGATTTGCAATATGAGTACTCCCAAAATCTGAGCTAAAATGAGAACAAAGCTACTAAGAATCAATACATGAATGAGATTAATTTATTTATAGAAGCAATCCACCACAGATGTTTCATAAATCGGACTGAAGAAAATAGGCTATGTGTACTCCTAAATCAAGGTGACTAAGAAATTGTTTCAATGCCTCTCCACCCCCAACTTGTTTTAATTTCATGATTTCTAAACAATCTTCTGTTATAATATAGACTTTGCTATTAGAAAAAGAATTAGTCTATCAGTCAACTCCAGACTTTGCTATTAGAAAAAGAATTAGTCTATCAGTCAACTCCAGCATCTGGTCTAACTAGAAGTTTTATTCCCATTATAAATGCAGAAATTGACATCTGGTCCTATTTAGTTGGTTATGAGGAACTTACACTTTATCAAATCTGACAAAATTCAGTTCTGGGGCCCTAAATCAAGACTACTACTAGATCTGAGACTGTTGCAGTCATAACCCCACACTCTGGGGTCTTGCTTGAGGAGCCAGCAAGTCTCTGTGACAACTCTGTTCTTTCTTTATCTTCCTACCATTGGGTTTAAGACAATGTTAACCTCAGTCAGTATATCTTAATAATAAATAAAATGTCCATGTATGCAATGTTAAAAATCGTCTAATCCTCTTCTGGAATCTATGGACTAATAAAATTTCAAAACATAAATATTTGGGGAGACAAGTTACCTTTATTTTTTCTTTGCCAAGTGAGGATCATTAAAAACTAATCTATTCATAAAAGAAAGGATATTTACAGGGTGGGGGAAAGGAAAAACAGTCTCATAATAGATTTTTTAAAAAATGGAGTGAATTTAGTTTTAAGGAAAACCCACTAGAGAGTGTTTATTTTTCTCACCTCAACAAAGATGGATCAACAGATCTAATTTAGTGACTTCATGAGGAAATTGGGACAAAGAAGAGTTGATCACTTTGCCTATGATCACACAGCAGCATCTGAAACCCTGGTTTGCTGCAATTTCCACTGCCCAGGCCTGACTCTGGAACTTGCTCCACAGGAAAAGCTAAAACCCCACTACAATGGCAACCCTCACATATTATTCCCCCTTAGCCTGATGCCACTGATACCACTGGGTTTGGTTTTCAGTCCACACACATTTATGCTGAAATATTGTATTTTGGCATTATTTCTGGCAGCCATAGCGTGAAAAGGCCCACGTCTGATGAACAAGTGAGGTTCTTGTAAGTCACATGGTCTCCAGAGGATCTGTTGCACCCACAGCTACTCCCATAAATCCAATCTCCTCACTTTTTCTGGCTCGTCCTATGTTCTACAGAACACTGATCTCAAACACGAGCCCAAGAGGTCCAGTCATAAAGATAATTCTTAATTCGCCTTTCACAAACTACCATAGACAAGGAGTGGAAGGTTTTCTTGGTTTTGCCTGGTCTTTGGAATGATGAGACTTCAGCTACTCTGTCAAGAACACTTAGAAGGGGTGGAACCAAAAACGCATTTAGGCAAACGGAAGGCATCGTGAACACACAGATTTGAAGTCCAGTCAATAGTAAATGAGAAGAAAAGAAGTAAACAAGACCTGTAAGACCTGTATAGTGTATTCCACCTAATTATTTTAAACTACAGTCTTATCAAACTTTTTGATTCTTTAATTCCTTCTGTCCATAGATGCCTCCTTTCCTGTGAAACTTCGTTTGCTTCAGCAGAAGCTCATAAAAAGAGAGCACAACAGTACACTGGGAATATTCCATACAGGTGAGGAGGCTCCTGCAGGCTGCAGAGGCCGGTAAAACTTCATGTCTCTTGTTCTTATTAGACAGCAAACAGTGAATGACCTTGTCCTTTGCAATGTCAAGCCCTGTGGTCTCAGGCTGCTTTTTCTGATCTCAGATTTCTGATTACCCACCCTTTCTCCTGGGACATTTTTCCAGCTCCATGGAAATGGCTTTCATGTTGACATTTCAAAGGTCACTCTATAGAACCTAAAGTTAGATTAAGCCATCCCTAATGCATCATTGTGGGGTTCTCATTTATTCTCATGATCACCAATTTCAAGAGAGAGAATCAGTTGGCTCTCAAAGTTTAAAAAAAGTTCTTGCCACAATAATTATTCATAAAATACCTGACAGAGTAATAGCAACTTGCAATTATTACAGAACAAGCTAAAGTCGTTTCTCCACTTGCGGAAGCATACCTACTATGTTTTCTCACCTAGTGCTAACTAGCTCATTTCAGTTCCACGAACTTCACTAGGGTAAATCAACGATCACTTACCATTAATAAGCAGAGAACTATCGGATCCTGGATATGAATAGTTTAGACGACCTGAAGGTAAAAGAAGGCCGTTACTAAATTTATTTTTTTCATAGATGGTTTCAGCGCATTCAATAACCAAACTGAATTAGCTGTTTTAACAGGTACGGTATCTTAAAAGCTCTATTATGGGATAAAATGTTGTTGTGCTAATAAACACAGTGAGTCAGAGGACATATCAATCAGCATATTCACACGCATTCAAAAAGGGAAAGGTTTGAAAGTAGGAAAATAAAATATCCCTCATATTTAGCTCTCAGGTCATTCCAAGTTCCAAGTCCCAATCCGAAGTAACTTTTTTTATACCATTATGTTCTAATACCAACTCATAATAACAATCTTCACTTTTTTTTCTGCCTCATAAATGTGAAAAAATTATCATGGGTCTAGTTTTTGTTGCCTTTTAGAAGTATGTCATTAGCAGTAATATTTTTCTACATGATTTGTAAGGAAAGTGCCGGGCTTATGCCTACATGTACAGACACGATAATGGGTTTAAATTTGCATTTTGGCGAATCAGTACAGAAGATAAAGAACAACATATCACTGCAGTTACATATGCCAAAAAATGCCAAAGCACACAGCACAGTGCCCAGCGCAGAGCAGGCACTCAATGAATGCTCCGTTGGTTTCCTTTGAATTTTAAAGTGGCCCAAAATCTAGTTTTGAACCTAAAATGGCCACCCATGATGCCCATCAAAAAAGAATTTGTGAAGATACTAAAATTCTGGAGGATACAGCAACTTCTAATGTGGTAACCAACCACAAATAAAGGGGGGAATGGCCCTGGCATGTCTCCATTTATGAGGAATACCATTTCTGTTTGGGAAGAATTTTTACATGTTAAGTTGAGGTATCCAGACAATAAATCCTTCCCAAATGCACGCCATGCACCTAATTCTAGGCTGTAAATTATAAAAATCATTATGGCAACATGTTGAAGTCTCCATATTCCAGGCACCCACCTTCGTAAGAATGGTGAAGAAACCTCAAAAAATTCTTGCTTGGCTAAGGAATGGACGTTAATTATCTATCACAGTCCAGCATTGTATAAATCAGGAGTAGTGTAAGAATTTCAAATCGACTCAGAATTACAAACATCCCATTAGGAAACAGCAGTCTAACCTCTGACCCCAAAGAACCACAGTAGGTTCTCCAAAGCTACAGAAAAGCGGGGAAGCAGAGATTCTCGAATGCCTCAAGGCTGGGGCAGGCGTTCCAAGACCAGAAAGACACCACCTAGTTCCACTGAGCACCATGGGAACCAGAGCTAAAATGTGGTCCTATCGATCCAATAGCCATATATTCACAACTCTAAATAGTCTCCACAGAAATGAACTCATGCTGTGAAAACAGAAAATTGTTCTCTGCTGCTAATATAGCATTAATTAATCCATATCCAAAACTTGGAATCTAGTATGAAACAAAATCTGATGTGAGTAAACACAGAAACAAAAATATTTAACTATATGAATTGAAGTTAAGAGGACATGTTTGGTTATTTCTAAGTGGATAGTCACAGATTCTAATATTTTTAACGCTAACATTCCAGTTGAAATCATGGCTGTTTCACATGAACTATATAAGCCTCCTCTTTAATGCAGGGAAGATTAATAATAAGAATCCAAAGACAAATCACCAAACAGGCCGGTCCAGTTTAACAAGTCAGGTTCCACCTCATCAGAAACTCACCTTTTGGATATCTTTTAAGGAGAAAGGAGTATTTCAACTCAATAGGCACAGAAGTGTCCCATGACAGTCTGAGTTTGCCTCACACATGCCTCCTAGAGAGATCCCACCTTCCACCCCCAAGGTAGGCAGGTGACCTCTGGTATTTTCTCTGCTTTGCAGACTTCTGAATACAGTAACTCTAGCCTGCAGCTAAGACAATAGCGCACTGAAGAATCACTGGCAAGGTTCATAGTGTGACTCTGTAAAATGATACTTGTTTTTAATTTTCTGAGCTGGTCTTATGAGTCCTGCCAGGCTAGAATCAATTTTGGCCTCTGAGTAGCAAAGGCATCTGTGACATTTTGTTAATCAGTAATGCTTTCTACTTCAATTTTAAAATATAAGCAGTGACATTTAAAAAAAACACCAAACCCCTCTTTTTTAAAACAACTTTCTTAATGTTTCCCTGTGTGCCCTGTCCTGTTGTAAATTCTTTCTATAATTATAATATCTAGAGTCATCCGTTCATCTGTCATGGGTAACACTTATCACCTCCTTTCTGGAAATCTTCTGAAAGCCATGGGACCCTTAAAGTGTCCTATAGTCCTCTCACATTCTCCACGTATTTACTCCTCCTTTCGTTTCTGCTCTAATGTGCTCGCTGCTGTGTGGATGGCAATTAACAGTGGCATTTCTGCATTTTCTAGTCCATGGCTCGATTATCAACAATCCCCTCCCTTATCTGAGACGCGCGGCCCTCTTTCTTGGTCCCAATGGAGGGTATTTTTCAAATGGTTCCCCCCCCCCCAGATTCATCATTTTTCAGGGTACCGTTCCCCAAAAGGAATCCTCTCCTTTTACAGATTAACTTGCCAAATTTTATTTCTAGCTATGTTGCACCAAGCCAGCCTTCTTGGGTAATCATTTCAGCTACTGGCTAACTTTCTGATCTCGCTTACATAACAGCCGCCTAATTTAGGAACTAGTTTTGTTTGTTTGTTTGTTTGTTTTGTTTTTTTACCTAGTATACCTTGAGTTTCCTGTTTGGGCACCAGGTGAGCATTCAGTGAGTTCATTCCACTGAGCTGAAAACGCCAGCGTTTCACAAATGAATCAAGTAAAATAAAAACAACTGATATATCTACATCTGACTGTAACCCAGTGTTTTTGGTTTTGGTTTGTTGGTTTTTTGATAACTCATCTACCTATAAACATAATCCAGGTTTTGGCACATTTAGCATCGAATTCCTTAAGGGAGAGGAGGACATTAGGATTTCAGGCAAGTGAACCTACTTGGAGGAGAAAATTCAATCTTTGAAGGCTCTTGGTACTGTTATAAATGTAAAGAAATACTGCCTGATCAGCAGTCCTAATCTTAAGGGACGCTGTGACAGGAAAGTAATAGTCTCTGGAGGCCAGGGCTGGCATTTGGAGCCAGAAGCCTGGCATACATCATGCAGGAGGCAGAGACTATATTTGGTGACATGACTCAACGTAGCCAAATATAGGCAACTGATACAGTGTGACTCTGGGGAACTACACTACCAAATTCTACAGCCTAGAAAAGATCACACTCCAACTAGGCGATTCTATGCTAGGTATTCGCGAGTTGGACAGAACCAGTATTTACCAATCGGACTGACTCAGAATTAACTGCTGGGGGAAGGAGGTGCTCAGAGGAACAGTATGTACTATCTATCCTTTTAAGACACTAATTAAAGTAACCTAGTCAATGAGATGAAAGGAGAAAGGGCTAGAAGGAAATACTCTAATATATTATCAGTGTATGTATCTATTACTTTCAAAATTAGATAAGTTATTTTCTAAAAAGTAACCCAGATATGCTTGCTGATGATTCAGCAGGAAACGATACAATAAATGCTGCCATTTCAAACACTGAAAAATACCAAATGCTCTACAGTGCTATTAGATTTCACGCGATGACCTTCTGTTTTTCAGTCATGCCAGCATTGTTGGTGACATGGTGTAGGCCAAGGAATGACAACAGGGGATAACTCTACAAAGCTATCCAAAATAAAGCCATGCAGTCCTATAAAGTGACAAGTAGTATGAAATTCTAAGGTAGTTTTTTTTTTTAATTGACTCACACTATAAAAACTTAGATACTCCAAAGAAGAGGAGGGGTCTTCAGTGAACATCATTAAAATTTTCTGATAGGGAAAGGATAAGTATGGGCTTAGGCCCATTGCTAAGGTAGATCAAAGATTTACACAACACACACGTACGTACACACACACACACACACACACACACACACACACACACACGTTGTGGATGTTTAACTAGAGGTGCTCCTACTACCTCTGCTCCCGCTCATTTGATTTAGCTCACATCTAAGTATGTCAGAGCTAGAGGGCGGCCGTAAATAATTTTTTAAAGGTGTGCCACCTGCCTTTCCACATCTATTTTTACCAACATTGCCTGAGACCTGCAGCAAGATGGCGTTGTGGGGACCTGGGCCATGCAGAGCAAGGCTCAAGAGACGTGTCACCAATTCAGTTTTTGAACACCAACTTTGTGCTTATACAAATGCAGAACACGTATCAATATGAACTAATAAAAATGTGTTCCATATGTTCTATCACTGAGTGATATAAAGGCATCTATTTTTAATTATTTATTCCCTTGACCTAAAAATAACTCCTCAAATCAAAATCTATAATCATATTCTACCTCCTGACCTACCTGTGACACAACCAACTTCCAGTGAAGATGTCTGCATGCAATATCACGAAGGGGGAGCTGGCTGGGGCTGACAGCTAGAGAGTCTTGTCCCCCTCGCAAACAGCCATTTGAATTAATAAACACACACAGAGAGTTTAGGGTAAAGGAAATCCCTCTTGGAGGCAGAACTAGCTTTCAGCTTAAAAGCCAGGGTTTCTAAAAGTACTTGAGTTTCCTTGCCTAGCTCTCCAAGTTCATTTCTCTACACTGCCATTTCCTTTCCCATGTTAGGTACTTCAGACATTCAGAGCTACTGGCCCATTAACTTTTCCTTCTGGGTTCCTCCCTCTGTCTAGAACGCCCCCCTCCCTGTCTGCCCCCAATGTCTTACCACCAAGCCCCCCACCCTTTTGCCCAGGTAACTTATCCCTCAGGCCTCACCTCCTATGGGAAGTCTTCCCCTACCCCAAGCAGTGTGCTCCATGCAATACCCTTGACACTTACTGCACTGTATTTCTATTACCTATTTCTAAACTATCTCATCCTCCAGGGCAACAAGATCTTTAAGGAAAGATTTCGGGGTATTACATCCCAGAGCTTGGAGCAAGGAAAGGTGCTCAATGGTAGCTGTTGAATGAACGAATGAAGCAAAGCCA